ATATATATATATATATATATATATATATATATATATATATATATATATATATATATATATATATATCCCTACAAAAGAATCCAACTTCTATATACCGGAACGACAGGGTTAAACCTGAATTTACCTCGCTAACCCAGTAATCCTGCTTCGTGGTGCAGTCCTCTTTTTTTTTCTCTTTGAGCAGAACAACATATAGGTGAAAACATTTAGCTTTTGGTCTCATTTTACTACAACTGACCCTGGTCCTCAGGGCACACTGCCCTGCTTGATGTTTTCCAGCTTTCACACAGCTGATATCTATTGAAAGCATGTTATCAGGTTTTGCTGGAGTGCAGTCATCTGGATCCGGCCTGTTAAAGTTGGGAAACATCTAAAAAATGCAGAACATTGAGCTTTGAGGACCAGGATTTAAAACCACTGCACTAGATTATCTTCTTTTGAGTTTTGCTACTGCTACATAACTTTGTGCTGTTTGCTAGTTGATGGTGCAATTGTTTCATTGTAATTGTTTTGTATTGCTTTATATGAGGCATAATGGTAATGGGAGGATGAGCTGAGTTTCATAGGTGGGAAAGCAGATGCTCTCCATGTACCATGCTGTTTAAAACACCAGGCTTTTCTTGTGACAGATAGTTTTTTTTTCTTTTAGTTTAACATACTCAGTCTCAACTATTTTAATGAGCATATCAGCTACTATTGTGGCGCTGCTCTATATACTGGTAGAATGAGAAAATTCACACCTTCAGTTTTCTTTCAGACAGAGATTTTCAGACCTAGCCAAACACTGTCAGGCAGGCTGGGAATAGTTGTTTTTTTTTGGGAGTATTGCTCCTGTATTGTATTAATATAGAATAAAGAAAAAGCAGGGAGAAAGTCAATCTCCTTGCTTAGTGAGAACAAAAAGCCTAATTCCCGTCCATGCTGGTATTCATGTCGACTGCTTAGTTCACGTTTTTCTACTGACCCACTATATCCTTGTGACCACACTCATTGCTTAGTAATTTAAACACGTCACTGTTATTTTGGCTAGACTCCAGCCACCAATATAGATCCATTACAGTCTTACTTTGTTTTCCTTCTTCAACTTAAATAGGCTGCTGCTGCTTTTCATCATATACTTTTTACATAATCTCTCTATTTGGTCCATAGGACCGAGGTTAAATTATCTTGTCAGGAAAACAGCATATAATTGCTTTCATATTAAAGTAACAACAGAATGTCATAAAAACTGTTTTGTTTTTTTTACTTTTTGCACTTCCATCTAGCAATTCTATTAAAAGTACACTAATAAGTAGGAGTCCAGTTTTGGAGTCCATGAATTACAGGGTGAAATGGGATTCAGCCAGTGGCGTAACCTGGCTTGATTATTCCCAGCTCTAGCCAAGAATGATTATAATCAATCAATCTTTTTTTGTCTCTCGGGAAATAAGAAATGTATTGATCCGTCCTATGATATTAAATTATACAAAGAAGTATAATCTCCCAGCTTTGGTAAATGCAACATGGGCATGATGCTATGACCAATCAAAGAGAAGTTTGTCTGGAAGCAGCACTCATGTATGTTTTATTGGCTATCAGTGCTGATACTATTTAGAGTTTCACATGAGGGATTTTGCTTATTCAAGAAATAAGGACAATTAGTTGTTTCTGAGTTAGCTGGCAGTGGGCAGAAAGAGCCACCATTGAACAGGTAAACAAAAAAGTCATTTTGTTTTCAAAATTATGTGAATATCCTGGAAGCTCATTCATGTGGACAACATGATATCAAGCTTGATATCCTTTTAGCTGAAGACCCCTCCATGCACATTTGTAGTAAATCCAGTGGTGAGTTGGTTTGAAGAACTCTATGATGGTGGATAGAGAGTGGCCTCTGGTCAGGTGCAGCATGAGATCCCCAATCCTTCCCCGTAACTCTGCCTCAAGCGACTTTTACCTGGTTAACTCTAGGGGGTCTCATGTGGAATGGACCAAGCTCAACATGTAGAAGCAGAAAACACTTTTAAACACTTTTTGGTAAGGGATGAAATTATCATCTGGTCCTGTGAACCTGCAAATATTGGGTGGCATGTAGTACCAGGAAGACCTGCTGCCTGATGTTTAGTTACACCAACTTCAGCACACCAATGAGATCGCTGTGAGACAGTTATGCTGTGTTTAAACCTCTCACATGGTTTTCAATAGGAACTGCTCTGGAATCTGACTTTGTGTGGTTAGCTCGGTGTCTGTGACTCATGTGGAGTCGATACTCCCAACTTAATAAACTATATGTGGCCGAAAAACAGCACGAAGCATATTTTGTCCAGCTTTGAGGATTTTATTTCTTCTAACTCCCGAAAGTTGGTTTAAACTTTATATAATTTCTACCAAAGCAATACCTATACAGTCCATCCATCCATTTTCTGTCATGCTTATCCCAAGGGGGGCCGCAAGAGCTGCTGGTGCCCATCTCCAGCTGTCTACAGGGCGAGAGGCAGGGTATACCCTGGACAGGTCGTCAGTCCATCGCAGGGCAAGACAAACAGGAAAAACAACCATTCAAACACACACACTCACACCTGAGAAGAATTTAGAGAAGCCAATTAACCCGAGAGTCATGTTTTTGACTGTGGGAGGAAGCCAGAGTACCCGGAGAGAACTAATGCATGCCCAGGGAGAACATGCAAATTCCATGCAGAAAGAATCTTCTTGCTGCAAGGCAGCAGTGCTACCCGCTGCTCAACTAAGCAGTGACCTCAATTCCTAAACATAATTAATTTCAAAATTCAAACTGCATTATCTTACTGTTAATTTGTATATAAAGACCCAGATGAAAAAAAACACATAGACCTTCTGGGAATATCTCTGAGGCATATGTGGTTAAGATTAGAAAACTATAATCGTTAAAACTAAAAAACTAAACTATAATCGTTATATACTGTTACAGAAAAAAAATGCATTTTATTTTAAATAAGTACTTTGATTTTTTTGTCCCAACTTACAGCAGTCCACCAAGTTCCTGGGTTGTCCAGTCCACAGTTGTCACTGTACTCCAGGCAGCAAGAGTCTGGCACTCGAGTGGCATTATAAACCTCAAACCAGTCTGTATGGTTGGTGACTCCACAGCAGCGAAACTGCAGAATAAACAGCATCAAGATGTATGAGATATCATTATAACTACTCTAAATTCCTCCTGAANTCATGTGGAGTCGATACTCCCAACTTAATAAACTATATGTGGCCGAAAAACAGCACGAAGCATATTTTGTCCAGCTTTGAGGATTTTATTTCTTCTAACTCCCGAAAGTTGGTTTAAACTTTATATAATTTCTACCAAAGCAATACCTATACAGTCCATCCATCCATTTTCTGTCATGCTTATCCCAAGGGGGGCCGCAAGAGCTGCTGGTGCCCATCTCCAGCTGTCTACAGGGCGAGAGGCAGGGTATACCCTGGACAGGTCGTCAGTCCATCGCAGGGCAAGACAAACAGGAAAAACAACCATTCAAACACACACACTCACACCTGAGAAGAATTTAGAGAAGCCAATTAACCCGAGAGTCATGTTTTTGACTGTGGGAGGAAGCCAGAGTACCCGGAGAGAACTAATGCATGCCCAGGGAGAACATGCAAATTCCATGCAGAAAGAATCTTCTTGCTGCAAGGCAGCAGTGCTACCCGCTGCTCAACTAAGCAGTGACCTCAATTCCTAAACATAATTAATTTCAAAATTCAAACTGCATTATCTTACTGTTAATTTGTATATAAAGACCCAGATGAAAAAAAGCACATAGACCTTCTGGGAATATCTCTGAGGCATATGTGGTTAAGATTAGAAAACTATAATCGTTAAAACTAAAAAACTAAACTATAATCGTTATATACTGTTACAGAAAAAAAATGCATTTTATTTTAAATAAGTACTTTGATTTTTTTGTCCCAACTTACAGCAGTCCACCAAGTTCCTGGGTTGTCCAGTCCACAGTTGTCACTGTACTCCAGGCAGCAAGAGTCTGGCACTCGAGTGGCATTATAAACCTCAAACCAGTCTGTATGGTTGGTGACTCCACAGCAGCGAAACTGCAGAATAAACAGCATCAAGATGTATGAGATATCATTATAACTACTCTAAATTCCTCCTGAATCTTAACAAACAAGCTGAAAAATGAGTGGGTTCCAACATTTTTAAACTCCTATCTACAATATGAAACAATTGTTTTAATGTATTTATTTGCAAAACACGTCTGACATAGTCCCCTACTGCTGCTGCATTATTTTTCAAAACCTTCTTGTCTCCTGCTTATTCCCACATCCTTCCTCTTTGTAATTACTATAGATTTTTGATAAGAAGACATGACTTTCTACAAAATGCACTTCATCAGTGAAATGATAAAGTGTCCCTGATCCAGGAGTATTGCTGTCAGAGCCATTCCCAAATGCACAGCGTGCACAGAATTGCAACGTTGTGTTCATTTAGAACTTGCTTACCCACTTGGTGAATTGCTCAGCAATTTATCAAAAAAACAGAGCTAAAATTCATAAGTTCCCTGCTGAGCTTGAAAATAAATATTGGGATTCGGACTCTTTATAAAGTTGTTTAGATTTAACCAACTTTAAACACCAAGGGCAACAGCCCACATATTTATTTAAAACCTACAGAAGAATCATATAATCATTTGCTAAATGGCAGAAGATTAAATGAGATTTTTATACTTTAAAGACAGAATTTTATACTTTAAAGACAGAAGCTCTTTGTATTATTTGCCTAAATGTAATTTGGGGAAGACCCAGATGATGGTTTCATGATGTTGGAAACTCCTGGTTAATTCACAACATTTGAGTTTATTAGGGGGAAATATGTCCATAAAGCCTTTATGCATCACACAGCTCATTTCTGTTGCATAATAAAAAATATTGAAATAACTTAAGGCAACACTGTGTAACTTTTAGCCGATAGGGGCACTAGTTCACCAAATTCCACGCTTAAAGTAACTGACAGCTCTACACAGTCACTCTACACAAACACTCTTCGTGTTTTGTAATCGGATGGTAGAAACTTTTTGTACCAACAGATTAAGATTAAGATTTGAATGGTTAATTTTTTTGAAACAGTTAAACTTATACACCAAATCAGACTGTTCATCCTCTACATGGGCAAAATCTTCAAACTGTTAAATAGAAGAAAGGTGTTATACTTGTATCTTAACTTTTAAAAAATTGAACATACAACAAAATGATCAACCATTTTGAATGCATCAACCAAACCAAAATCCAAAGAATCATCAATGATTTATTATATATATCGCATATTAAAAGATTTTCAATAACTTTCCTTCAAAGAACACCAACCAATAACATTTAAATCTCTACATTTCTTATTCACACCAGAGAAACACATACAGTGTATTCAGTTTTTTTTGTCAGAGCAAAGTGTAGGGCTTTGTTTTTGGAATCCTATGTATCTTTATTGCATGAATACTTCTGAGGGTCAAGTGAGAGGGGCAGAGATGATTTAAGGTGACCTGGAACCAGCCTTTCAAAACACTTGAACACTCCAGATGTAAGAGGCTGTAGTCATTGAGTGAAGTGATGTTTGTCTGCTTTGGCACTGGGATAAGGGTTGAGGATTAAAAAGAAGCAGGTGTACAATGGTGTGTGATAGTGAAAGATTAAAAGTGTCAATGAGGATCCTAGCCAGCTGTCGAGCACAATCTCATAGCACCTAGCACTCAATCCCACCTAGTCCAGGGGCATTTGTGGCATTAACAGTTCTTAACTTCCTCTGACTGAAGGTTAAATGTCTGATCTGCAAGGTTTGCTTTGGGAAAGCTGTTTCCATTTGGATTTTTTGAATCAGGTAAGAGACTGGTTAAGCTTTTAAACCAGCAACGTATTTGCAGATGTTGATGGACCTTTGCTACCCCTGAAAATTTCAAATGCTATGTCTTCTTGATATAAGGTTGTCTTCAGTCCTTTTGGAGGACACTTTTGCTGTTTTGATGCCTCACTTAGGGTTTGATCTGGCTGCATTTCTCACCTCTTTATTGTCTGTTTTACAGAATAGGTTGCCTTCCTTCAAATATTATCATTCATCCATTTTCTGTCTGTTACAAAAGATAACTGCTTCAGAGTATTCCCCTGGGTCTTTATTTTTAATATACTGTATTTTAAGCTCTTGCAGTTAGAGAAGTGGCACTAGCTTGCCAAGTCTTAAAAATTCTGATAATGGATTTCAACTTCTTGATATATCCTCAATCTAGTGCATTTCACCCTTAAGTTGGACATTTGACATGCTGCACAAACTTTTGAAACTAAGTTCCAGTGGTTGAAGACACCAGCTGCAATAAAAAGCCCATCTGAATGAGATTTATGTTATTTAACAATCGCCCTTCAAATGCTTAACTGCAACATTTGCTATTGAGTTAGGAGCTACAGTACATAAAGTGCTGCAATGAAAACTCTTTTGGGTATTGTTACAATCTTTATATAAACAGCTGTCATATTTCTGTTGAGCAGTGCATATAAATAGCAGTGGTGTCTCTGGTCTAATAGGCCTAAATACTTGTAAAAACAGCCACACGCACTACGCTTTACTGGAAGCCTTGGCTCTGTCACTAATGGTGTGTAGTGAAGCCTGCTTACACAATACCAATATCAGGGATACAAGGGTGACTGCAGGTCTTGCTGTTTATCAGAACATTACTGTCCTGGATGTCTAATTGTGATGATGAGCAGAATTTCAACTCATCCAAATGATCCGAAACCTGGTGTTGGAGACAAGGAAGCTGGGAAACTGCGGTCTGATAGGATTCCTTCTAAGCCAATTCAGTGTGCCAGCTTCAAAGCAATACCTTTGGTAATCCTAATTAACCTATAGCAGAAAAAGGTAAGTCAGGTTTTACATCACAGTGTAAGCAAAAAAATGAAAAAGGTTATGCATCTAATTGATATACTGTGTTTGTAAATATCAGTTCAATTGTAAATACACTTCCTGTGAGTGGCTTAAAATGCTATTCAAGGTGTCCTTTGGTCCGAGGACATGTGTCTGATTACTCATTCAGTGACTCAGCATGAATGAAAGACGTCTGGGAGGAAGGGAGTACCAGAATGAGACCTGCCTTTTAATGGTCTTCCTCTCCAGCAGAAAGTTGCACTGATCTTGCGAGGATAAAAGCACACGCTCACAGTTATCTACACTTTCAAACCATAGCTTGTTCATGTAAATTCTGTTCATCCTGAAGAACCCTGCAGGTTATCATCCGCTCATAGCAATGCAGACCTGCATTTATTTGCATAGCAATAGATTCCACTACCATCATTTATGTCTGTACATTCGCTGCATACACTAACTAAAATACAAACAATAAACCTACCAGAGACTTGACTGCATGTGTGAACACAATAAAGAGCCGAAGCTTGGTTAATGAAATAAAGCTACAAACCATAGCAACGTATCCAAGAGCCCTGAGGTGCACAATCTATCATTTGAATTCTCCCTGAGGGCTTTTTCTTTTACATGGAGCATCCACCTTAATTCCCAATCAAGGCTTCTCATATTGTGTGTTATTTGCAGAGGAATAAAAAAAAAAACACAATGGAAAAAGCACATCAAAGTTAGAGCTGGAAACAGAGATTAGCTTTGTAATGTTTGTGTCATTTTTCCCTGCCTGCTTTTCACCAGGCTTCTTAGATAATGAATGCACAAAAAGCCTAACTACTGTCACATGTGTACAGAGGTTCTCAAAGTGTGCACTCCTGTTAGACTTTTTCAAAGAAAAAAATGGCATTCTTATTATAGTTAAGAAGCAAACAAGTATATTAGGAAGAAAAAAAAAAGGTATAACAATATAAAAGTTAATCAGTTTGACTTAATTTAATGATGCAGTCTTTGTAATTATGGATCCATCAGCATCTCCTATCTTGACTTGATAATATTTGGTTAGTCTACCTAGCTAAAATTCTCGAGCACTATCAAATTATGATCTAAAGACATGTCTTGATACCCTCCCCTTCCAGTGAAAGCTTTAATTTTTCTGTTCTAAGCAAATTCTGCAATCGATTTTGAGTTATATCAGGGCACAAATGTAATCCCAGATTATCTGTAAATTTTCTACTGAAACAGCAGAGGCCAGATTTGTAGCTATAGGTATGGACTCCTTTAGGCGATGCACAGTTTTGTTTTTGACCCAAACATACATGCATTTGAAATTTTAATATAGAACCTTCTTGTCACATGTTCAACACGCCTAGTAGCCAATTTACTACTAGACTCAGTTTTTCATTGATATTGAGAAATGTCTGGTTTCTTTAATTCATTGTTGTCCCATACTTACTGTTGGTTAGTGACAGTCTGATATATGATGCAGTGTTATTTTTGAAATCTCTTGACTCTTATTTTAACAATAAAATATCATATTCTATAATTGTTTTCATTCTTCGCACAAACTAAAAGATGCAAATGCCAAGAAATTCTTATTAGTATGGCCAAATTTTTATTTTTATTTTTTCAGAATAATCACAATTACTATAACTGTTTACAGCCATGAACTCATGAAGGCTGAGGATTAAAACAATATTGAAAGGTGTTTTATTGCAGTTTATTGCATTAGTTTAAGGTGGTGAACACCTTGCAACCATGTAAACACAGTTTCTAGTTTTTTTGTAGTTGCAGAAATCAATATTTTCTTTTTTTTACCTGAATTGTTAATGACATGTCATAATAGCAGCGGGATTAGTTTTAAAATTACTAATCAAAGTCTCCTTTTTATACTCAAAAACTTGCATTTAAACACTGATGTGTGATTTTAGATGTTTAGTCAAATTATACTATAAATATACACACCATGTGGACATGCATTGTAAAATGTTTTTTCAGTGTGTCACTACTCAAAAGTAAAACAATGTCACGAAGTAAAAACAACCCTTGTCACATGAATAATGCACACAAAATTTCAAGTATCTCAGCTTGTGACAGCAAGTCTCTAGCTTATGTAGCTAAATGGTGCCAAGTTTAATATTGAATGGTCTGCAAGTATTTTATGCAGGATGACTTAAGTGTTTTATCACCCAACAATCTCATGCACTCAGTTAAGACATTTCACATCTTACATCAGTTTGTACGATCATCCAGGCGTTGGTCAAACCAACATTGCCTTCAGTCCCGAAAAGCTGCAGGCCCTTCTTCAAATCCCTCTGAGCGTAGTGATCAATCTGGGGGAAACAAGGTGAGATAGAAAGAGCTGCTTTAGAGAGAAAACTTAACAAACATCAGTATTGCATCTGCTTGAGTTGTATTAGATGTTATTATTTGACTTTTTTTTGTGGCAGCAAGTGGTTTCGACTAAAGTGGTGACAAAAAGTACAGTGCCATCTGCTAGAAGGGGAACTAATAGAAACTAATCAAAGCAGTGTATAAGATCTATTAGTATTTATATATATAAAGTTGCATTTAGCCAAATAATATGCACAAGGCATTTTATTGTTATGGAAAAAGGTTAAATTGTGATTACATTGCTGCTTCTCATCAAAACATGGAACATTTGTGAGCTTTAACTCTAATATTTTGATCTTAATCCAGTAACCCGAGAGAAAAATAGCAGTTGGCTACAATATGCTAACAGGTAAAGAATTTAAAATTTTCATGTTGTGTTAGAACAAATAAATCAAGGTTAGAAGTCTGGGACCAAACTCGATTTTATGGGATGTTGTTTAGCGGCTGTTTGATTAAAGCAGATAAATACACCTCAATGTGGGTTTTGTTTGAACCCACAAATTGGCCCTGTGAAACTAAACAAACAAGATAACAGTTAACAAAACCAGATTTTCCTGTAAGCTTTTAAGTCGTCAAAAACAAATCGTAGGTGTAAGGAGCGTCACGGGGTGAACCTGATTACATTCAGAAACTGCCTGACAATTTCTTCAAAAATACACTCATTCAAATTGATAGATTTATCAGCATGCATAAATGGTGTGGAAAAAAGTTCCAAATACACACAAAAGGCTTGGTCTTGTGCAAATTTGTAAGGTGATATCATCAAGCATCAACAAAACTGACCTCTACTAGTTTAAAATAATAGAGTTTTGCTGTTTTATAATAGAAATAACTGCTCCCCCACAGCTCATATTCAGGTTCATGCTTTCAAAATGCATTGTTATATCTGACAGGATCTAATGCCGTTGAACAACACGAGCCTTTTAGCTGCAGATCCTCAATAAAAAAGAGCTGACGTTTCTGTTCAGAAAGCAATATGTTTTTTCATAAGTGGGTCATGGTTATGTCAGGATTCCCCAAATAAAAAGCAATGTGCCAAATAACACAGAGTCACTGCAGGGAACGGCAAAGCAGACAGCGAGCAAGAGAACAAGAATGTAAATAATGAATGATTAAAATACTTGCATATATTTGCTCATGTGAGATCACAGTGTTTAGCAATCATGTGTCTACAACTTCTTGTGTTTGGTTTAGGAAAAGGTTTCCTCTCCTGTATTATATTTTCCAGGAGATTTCATATCATTTCAAACTACTTCCCAAACAGACTTAATTCTATTAATTACTACAAATTAAAAACCAACAATAACATAACCCTCAATAACATGCCCTCATCTTTGAGTTTAATGAAACCGCTATAATTGCAACTGCTTTGCTTTCCATCATGGAGCACAGATATCACTATGGTCATCTGAAACTGTGTTAAAATGAAGCACTTTTAAACTGACACTGTGCTGTGACACGTTGAATAATGCTGTGAAAGTTTTGATCAATCAAATGGACATTATGAACCTTGGAAAACTAAATTCCATAACATTCTGTGACATTAATAATGTTGAGCCTTCTGGTGGAAACTTTGCTCAATTTACTACAAAAATCATTAAACGACTAGAAAGTTGTTTCACACAGCTGGCTCATTTAATTCATTTATTTGATTGGAAAGAGATAAATCTTATATGCAGATTTAATTAGCTTTATCTGTTCAGTTAACATAAATCAGTGACTATAGAAATTAAAAGGAAAAAAACAAGAATACTTATGAATGAAAGGTATTAAATAAGTTGTTAAATTATCTATTAGTCTGTCTTGAGTTGGCCTCCATCTTCCTCAGTTACAACATGCATAAATATATATATATATATACCTGCAGTTTTTAGGTCTGGTGCATTCACATGTGATCCACTATATAAGGACTAAGTAATCTCCCTTGCTGAAAGATCCAGCTGGGAATGGATTCTAACAATCCAAATAGAGTAATTTTTAATTAAGTTATTCTTTTTTTTAAATTCTCCAGAGTGTTTGTGGCATAAAATAGTTAGTATTTAATGGAATGTTATCATTTCAGCTATTGATGGTCTTGGCCTCATTTAAGATACATAATTTTGCTAAAGGTTAAAACTTATGATAAAAAAAAGCTGATAAGAAAGCAACATACTCAATATCTACACTTGATTATCTAAATCTACAGATATCTACTGCAAAAAGATAATAAAAATTATTATTATTATTATTATGATAAATGATGGCTTGGGTTTAGGTGTTAATTTGTGTTTCAAACCACTTGAGTTATTTACTTAATAAGAAAGAGGCTGCAGTATTACTTTATTCTTTTATGTGTGCTTTTGTAGTTTATTTGTTTGTTCTGTTATTTGTGAATTTGCATTTTCATTCATTTCAGAAAACTGTGGACTGATTAGTAAATCAGGAATCAGAAGATTGTTGTTTAGAACTGTGGAGAGAAGAAGGGATATGATTAAATGAGTTTCACTACTTTATACCCCTTTAANCTCTGTGACTCAAGTGACAGCTATGAGCTGCTAACAGCCACATTTCCACAACAAAAGGAGTGTCCGCAGGAGGTCCAAAGGAACAAATGACCCTCTTGTAGGGCTTTTAGGTAAAAAGGTAAATTGACCCCTCCGTAGAAGTTCTAGTGTTAAGACATAAATCACTGAACTGTTCATACCATGTAATCAAATATATCATTAATTATATAATATATTTTCCATACTGTTTAAATTTGTAATGAACAATTTTACTGGATTGTGTGGAATAAATTAATTCTGTTCTTTCATTTATCAATTTCTATTTATGGAGGTGGCGATATTTTCTCTGTTATCTAAATCCTTGCTTATTCCTTTTTAGAAAGTGGCTTGTATTTATCAATAGCTTTTTAAATTCTTTTAAAAAAGAGTTTTCAAAATTCTTGGAAAAAATTTAAGGTGGAGAAATATACCTTTAGCTGCTATGTTTAGTTTAAAGAGTGAAAAAAATAAAGTACAGGTTGGCAAGGCAGAGAGTGACATTGGAAGTATGTTCATCAGGTGATTAAGGATGAAGATGGAAAGGTACTGAAAGGTCTAATAATTGGGATGGAAAACTTGAAGAAATTCCTTACAAATTTCCAAAAAAGTTAAAAAAAACAATCCTCTGGACTTTGTTTTCCAAGTTTGAAGACATCTCGCTTTCCATCCAGGAAGCTTTTTCAATTCAAAATGTCAGAATTAGCCTTGAGTTCCAAACTTTATAGAGTAAACCAAACAAAGCCTTATTTTGGCTTAGTAAACTGTCAGGGTTTGGTTGAGGTTAGAGGACCCAAATGCAGAGGCAGGGAGGCAGAGGTGAGTTTCTTGAAGGTTTGATTGAATGTTCACAAACAACTGAGGCAGGAATCCAAAAACCCAACATGAAAAATGTAAAACAAACCAGAACCATGGAGACATCACGGGAAAACAATCATGAGGAGCAAGGATAAGACGAGGTAAGACGAAGTAAGACGAGGAACCAGCACTGAGGAACTGCACAAGGAGAGTATTTATGGTAGACTGAACAAAGAGAGGACTAACAAGCAGATTGGGAGCAGGTGTGAAGAGAGGAATCCAGAAAGGAGCTAGGAAAAAGGAGATCAGCACAAAAGGGCAACAGAGGGCAACAAATAAATGCATAAGAACTCAAATATATCCAAAAACACAACAAAATAAAAATTTAACCAATAAAACTAGAAAACATCAAGCAAAGTAAAACTGAATACTCAAAAGAAAACACCAGAACAAAGACTGTGGACAGTAAACATGCAAATTGAACCCAAAGAACAGGAATGGGGAGTCATTAAAAAGTTGAGAAAATTACAAAGAACATAAAGCAGAAGGATTGAACAATGTGGACGAGGAAGTAGCACGGATAAGTAAGAATGAGGTAAGGAAGTCATTAAAAAAGATGAAGAATTGAAAGATAGTCAATCCTGATGACATGCAGTTAGAAAAGGCATTTAGTGTCCCACAGTGGGGAACTTTGGGTGAGATAGTTGTTAAAACAACTAGACAGAAGACACATGACAAAGAACACACAAGGTCAGCATAGCTACAATGTGATTTTATAGATCTTGTGAAAGCATATGGCAAGATGTCTGCAGAGAATTAGTTTTGTGTGAGTCAATCTGATAATGTAGACATTCCTTTAGGGAAGAGTAGGAAATGAATGGGAGAGGCAAGACAGTGGTGAAGTGTGCTGTAGATGTGACAGAGGAGTTTAAGGTTGAAGTGAGACTGCATCAACGTTTGGCTCTGAGTCCTGTCTTGTTTTCTGTTGTGATGGACAGGTTGACAGATGAGGTTAGACAGGATTTTCAATGGACAATGGTGTTTGCAGATGACACTCTGATCTCTGGTGGGAGAAGGGAACAGGTGGAGGAAAATCTATAGAGTTGGAAGTTTGCCTTAAAGAAAAGGAATGGACAGCCTTAGCAAGACAGAGTACATGAGCTTCAACGAATGAGAGGGATCCAAGTGGAGCCATGACGTTATTGAAACAGCTTTATGGATAGGGAGGATTTAGAGTATGTAAGATCAGTAACCCAGAGTAACAATAAGAGTGGAAAAGAGGTGAAGGAATATGAATGGACAAGTGAGGAAAAAAAAGAGGACCAGAGAGTAGAAATTTGGACAGAGTAAAAGAAATATTATTTTACCATCCCACCATGGGGAAATTTGTAATTTGACCAAATACTGAGGGAGCAGTTTGCTGTCACACTATGTAGAGCACAGCAAGCATTCCAAGGTTAAGGGTATTTCTCAGGGACCTTTTTTGAATAGGTTCTGATCTATTGAAATCTCTAACTCTACTTCCTGTTTAGTTCAGTCAAGGGTAACGTGACGTAATATAACGATATTACGCTTTGCATGGCCTCCTTAATTCACTTCAATGGATGGAAACATATCTTGTT